GAGAGAGAGAGAGAGAGAGAGAGAGAGAGAGAGAGAGAGAGAGAGAGAGAGAGAGAGAGAGAGAGAGAGAGAGAGAGAGACCTTATTCTAACTAACTACGTGCCCCCCCCTCCCCCCCCTCCCCCATGATCAAGTGTAGTTATCTGTTCCAATCTTTGTTTTATATCTAAAGTGTGGTCAATTTAGACCCTGTTTAAAAAAAAAAAAAGTGCGTGCGCACACATGAGAGAGAGAGAGAGAGAGAGAGAGAGAGAGAGAGAGAGAGACCCCAAACTAACTGACCATGCGCCCGCTTCCCCCCCCCCCAACGACAAGTGTAGTATATGCTGCGATCAGTTTCATATCTGATGTGTGGTCCATCGAGACTTTTTTGAAAAAATAAAAAATAAAAAACCACACTCCCGCTCGCGTGGAAGAGAGAGAGAGAGAGAGAGAGAGAGAGAGAGAGAGAGAGAGAGAGAGAGAGAGAGAGAGAGAGAGAGAGACGTCAATCTGACTACCTGCCACCCCTTCCCCCCCGTCCCCCACGATCAAGTGTAGTATCTTCTCCGGTCAGTTTCATATCTGATCTGTTGACTGTGGAGGCTGCACGCGCACATGGATGGGGGGGGAGAGAGAGAGAGAGAGAGAGAGAGAGAGAGCCCAATCTAACTACGTTGCAATCAGACTCGCTTTCATTCACACTTTTCATGCATGTAAACAGTAGCGCAGCAAACTGGCGACATGCGCCCACTCAAAACTCAGAGATATGGCATCCAGATACGAGTTCACTTTCAATTGGCTATGGCGATTCAGTGCCCAAACAACTCACTGTTCACATACACCGGATCACCCTGGATATCCCACACGCGACTCTCTGAACTCACACACACACACACACACTCGCTACACACTAACTCTAGCTATGGCGGCTATGGCCGCAACTACCCTATTGCTATGCTACGCTCCTTCTCTCTCGCGCACTTCAGCTCCGGGCTCACTGCAGACCTCCTTGCCCAAGTCGCTGTGGCAGCGCTTCTGCATGGCTCACGCAGGAATGAATGAATGGCTGGGCGCTGCCTCTTGATTTATACTTCTGAAACTCGTTGGTCTGCCCTTTGCCATCGGCCCATGGTGCTCACAGTCCCTTGTGGTACTTGCTGGACCGGACGGGGACTGACTGGACCTTACTGCTGACTGAATGGGGACTCACTGCTAACCTACCGAGGTCGTACTGCAATTGCACTGCAGTTAGTCCACCACTTGACTCACCACTTGCCCACTTGCCCACTCGCTGACCTTCTAGAAGGACTACAGCTAAGACTTCTGGAACTCGCTAAGACTTCTATTCTACAGGTCTACAGATTGAACCCCTGCTACCTACGGACCTATGACAGCCTACCAACTGTTTACGAATACACAGGTCACAGGTTCAACTCTCGGGGTCTACACAGGTACTGTACATAGGTAGGGCAAGGTCTAGGGATTGAACCTTGGGATCTGCGTCTGCTACTGCAAAGAGGTGAAAACCGTTTCAACGTGCCCACCCACCACCAATGGAGACCCTTGAAAAAAACAAAAAAAAATTGACTCGCATGCACGCGAGAAAGCGAGGCCCAATCTAATGAGTTGCAAATCTGATGCGTGGTCCATGGAAACCCTTTGGGGAAAAAAAAAAAATCACTCGTGCGCGCGTGCGGGACAGAGAGAGACCCCAACCTAACTAACTACAGTCCCCCCTCCCCCACAACACGATTAAGTGTTTTGTATGTGGTCCGATCAGTTTCATATCAGTTTCATATCTGATCCGTGGTCCATCAGGACCCTTTCTTTTCTTTTTTTTTAAAGGGAAAAAATGGAAAAATCGCACGCGAGCTCGTGCATGAGAGGGCGAGGGTGTGAGAGGGAGAGAACCCAATCTAATGAACTCTGCCTCCCCCTCCCGCCCTACCCACTCCTCCCCCCTAACAAGTGTAGTATCTGCTCCGATCAGTTTCATATTTGATCC